GATTAATTAAGATTCATTCTAAAAGTTTAAGAACTTTCTGTTTCACAATAAACCTCCATGAAAATGAGTCAGCCAATTCTAACCAGTAAAGGTTGTTATATATAAATAGACCCGGTCCCTCTCTGCTCCCCCATGTGCAGCAACCCTGTCTCCCAGAGTCCAGACCTATCAAGCTTGAAGGTGGCAGAGTTGGGGAAAGGTGGAAGACTGTTCAGAGACGAAGGGAAGAAGTGGGGAGCAGAGGGGGATTTCAAGTGGTAAAGCTTGATACCCCACCAAAGATGGGTAAATGCCAAAGGGCGGCTGCACGTGCTTACAACATGTGGGTGAAAGAGGGTGGGGCGCCTCCTAAAGCTCATCACGTACTGGGTGTTCTCTGTCTTGTCGTATCCTGCTCCTCTCTCATCCATATGACCACTCTTAAATATAGAGACTCTCTATTTATACACACACGAGAACCAGCTCTGGTTCCCCCCCCCCCTCCCGCCTTCTGCTTCTACTAGGCAAACACACTGGTCAAGGCACAGAAGGGAAGCAGGAAGAAAAGAAGAAATGGAAAACATACATACAGTGACAAAAAGAGGCAAGAGAGAGCAAATGCAAAAAGGAAATCAGAAATCAAAGCAAAAGGAAGAAAGAAGTTTCAGTTGAGAAAGAACTGAGAGAACAGGAGTAAAGGGAGAGAAGACAGGGGATAAGCTTTCAGATAAATGTATACGGTGTATTTTACAGTTTTCAGATTTCCCATCACATCCCTCCCCTCCCTGTGACTGAATACTGTTTTGGGAGCCTTCCAAAGGATATTCCTTTCTTCTCTTTACCAGTGCCAAGAAATTACAGACGTGAGGCACCAGAGCTCTTGCTATGACATCATAATTTCTCCCTTGCATTAAAAAAAAGAAATTCTGCTGTCCAGTGCTCAGTAGTGGTGAAAATGACAGAGACAGATATCAGGAGAGACAAAGACAAAAATAACTTTTGAGTAGGCCTCTGTAAAATAACCCCAAAAAATTCCCATCAGGGTGATTCTCAGACAAGATACAATCTAAAAGGTTTTCAATTACAATTTAACACGACAATAAAAACAATGTTTTCTTTTCAAATTATATAGCAGAGAAACTCAATAATTTATTTTGTTTTATACAAAAATTAAAATTATTTTACTTTCTAAAAAAGTTGCATCCACAAAGTTATTGTTCAATCAGTAGGGATTAAGCAGACAAAGAGTAGTGTGGGCACATGGAGGCAGAGGGAGAGAGGGGACACAGTGTGCTAACAGCAGGATGGTGATGGCAGAAAGTTCACTTACTTGCATGTGTGAAGGCACAGAAAGGGCCAACCAGGGCCAATAGGAGCAGCAGCTGAACATTCATGGTTGTGAAATCTTCTCTTCTTTAGTCACAACCTTTAGGGGAGTCCCACAGGGCAAACAGCAAGACACCGGAGCCCTCACACACGCCAGACTCACACCAAGCAGCCTTTCCGGGGGGAAGGGTTAAAGTTCCAAAAACTAAAAGTCAACTATTTAAAATAAAGTCTTCAGGAGTAGTTTTTGTAAAAGTAATGTGCCTTTGATCCTTTAAAACCAATGGATGTGAAGAAGAAGAGCAGGGCCAAGGCAGGCTGGTTGCTCTCACAGCTGGAAGAAAAGAGTGTTGGAGGGATGTAAAGAGAAGGGGAGATCTGGCCAATTTGAGGGAGTAGAGGGAGGGAGAGAAAGAGAGAGAGAGATCGAGAAAAGGGGACTGGCATGCAGAAAGAGAGAGAAAAGTGAGTGTGTGCGTGAGTATGTTAGCTTACAGTGGAGGAGGGGTGCTGGTACTGGTGGTGGACTGGGCGGGCTGAGGAGTGAAGGGGCAGGTTGGGTTGGGAGGAGGTTGTCTGGATTGGGGTAGTTAGGTGATTTCAGCCCTCGTGGTGCAGCCTCCTACAGGACGCCCTCTCCTCTCCCCCGCACAACCAGCCTCCTGTTTGCAAACCCAGCAATATCAGCAGCACACACACGCAAACACAGACTAGGAAAAACTGATAAGTGGACTGTTGAGGTGCCAGAATATATCAACGCATGATAGGCACAGAAATATATAACTGGCAAGTTTTTGCAATTAAAAAAACTTAAGCAACAAGCATTTTATGAATGGATTGAGCCTTATGTAAACAAATCATTGAGCTGTTTGAGTACTCCTCAATCACATAGTTAGGAGTCAAGACAGTTTCTGAAATAGACCACAGCTTTACTACATGTTACCCATCAAACGATTGACGGTATTTATGCAATCAGTGAATAAAATAAGCATCTGTATTTATATCTCAAATCATCAATCTTTTTCTTGCAAAGAAAGCGACAGCTTACATCTGTGGCTGACAGACAGTAGCAAGAGAAAGCAGCAATTTAAGCAGTTTTTGTAATAAAAAAGGACCACTAAATACAGTTAGAACATTGTGTTACTTTCACATAGTGAGCATGGGTGGTCTTCCGAGTTTATATGCAATTGAAGGCAAAACTGTCACTTGGCACAAGACTGACACCTGTTGGACAACAAGCTAGTGGACAAGACGGCACAGAGCAAAGAAGGCAAGTTACCTCGGTTACCAAAATATCCCTGTTCCTGTAGGGTTTTTGACCTAAAAAACGTGATCTTACAGGAGCACTATTTTAGATTTATCGTTAGTAAAACAGTAACTTGTCCAGCATTAGATTTATAACACTTTTAACTCAAACATGCCAAATTTGAGATGAAATGAAGACAGCAAACGCAAGGTAATTGCAGTAAAAACTGTCAATAATATTTTAATAAACACTGAAACAGATTTTAACTGCTAAACCCCCATACACAGATTTTCCCTGACACAAAAACGCCATTGGCATCGTTTTTTACTGACTTTTTTACATTATAGTGACTCCTGAAGGACAAATAACAAAATACTTTCTCTCCTTTTGCTGTTTTTTTTTTTGCTCTTTTCATCAGTCTTGTTTTTCAAGGGCAACCATAGGAGTATCATACGGCTATCTAAAAGGACGACAACGCACAAACATACAATATATATACGCTGGTCACTGTAATACAGCATTTCATGGCAATAATAAAGAGTATTTTCTTTTTTTTCTCAGTGAGAACTTTTTTTCACCATTCCATCAACCAATGAAATCTTTAACACCAAAGAGCACTTTTGGGTCCCATAATTCACTTTGTACCCACTGAATACAAATAAATGACTTCTGTCTTCTCTGTATTTTTTTTAGCTGTAAGGAGCTGTATGGCAAAAGAAAATCTGAGAGGATTGCACACAGGGACAATAATAAACATCACAGTAGAATTGAGCATTTGAAACTTCCAATGAGTCTTTCTCCTCTGCTAAACTATTATTTGTTAAGTCTTCTTAAACAAAGAAATTAAATGTTTACTATTTTCTTTCTTTCTCTTTATCTCATTTACAAGGTTTGTTGTGCAAAAACCGCTTGTCCTTTACTACATCAGGATTATTTTAATTGCTGCTGACCTTCAATGTCTGGTCATAATTGAAATGTCAAAAATGTTTAAAATCTTAAAAAAAACTATTTATATCTTAGAAAACTCTGCATTATTGTTGACTACTTCCAAGTCTAGCCAGCATTTTATTTCATGGTACTGGTGACAGATATTTGAGAAGCTGATAAAGCTTATTCATCAGTATTTTATATCAGATAGCTTATAAACTGAGAAGTAAAAAGTGTAAACCTTTTGAACATCAATTTAGCAGACATTGTCCTCATGAAGTGAGCATTGACAGTAGATGCAGTGACATCAAATACTGATATGTAAATGGCTTTATGTTGGTCTGACTTGTTATATAAATGTAACACCCTGAGACCATGGCACTATTCACTATAGTGATGTGTCGTTCCTGAACGATTTGTTCAAAACGAACGAATCATCTGGGTGAACGAACTGAACTGAATCACTTACTGAAAAGAGTCGTTCATTTCTCAACTTCAGTTGCGCTCTCCTCTCTCCCGTCTCATGTCTCTCTCTCCAGACCGCGAGAGTCGCTCAAAGCCCGCCCTCCCTCTCCCTTTCATGTCAGTGATACATACTGACTGAACCAACAGGACGAAGTTGGTCGGGAGCTCTGTGTCGCTCATGCCCACCCCTACATCTCCCTCTCATGTCTCCAAAATCGAGGAAGTAGCAAATATTTTATTTAACATTTAAGTGTCGCGAAAATGTATGTGCTTTTTATAACTGCTGTCAGTTTGCAAACGGCTTTTATATCCAATTTAATTTCACTCAGCTGACTGTTTTAACATCCACTAACGATGGTCTCAATTCGATCGTGTTTCAGTCAGTACAATGTGTGTGTGACTGAGGCTGGTTACTCGCAGTCTTGCACGTTCACGTTCAGTCAGTGATTTGTTCACTGAACGTACTGAACGGGAGCTCCGACACGAATCACTCACTGACTGACTGAGAGGAAGAGAGAGACTCATAAAGTAGTCTAAGCCCATTATTATTGTTTTTTAAATATTATTTTTTAAATCATTTTTTTTGCCCTGCTTATATAATTTAAAAAATAACTGTCCTGGTACAGGATATATTCGTTTCCATGCATATTTTCTGCTGACATGTAGCCTATATTAAGTTCAATTAACTGTCATTCACGATAACGTTTGGAAACTGAAAGCTGCTTTAACAGGCACATACATTTTCGCGACACCCAGCCTTATTGTTATTAAAATATTTAGTGCCGTGCTTCCTCGACTTCGAGAGAATTGAGACCCAGGGCTCTTGTTCATTGTACTAGTACGTCGTTCTCATGCTCAGTGAGTGATTTGTTCACTTAACGTACTGAACGAGAGCTCCGCCTCCGAGTCACTTTCTTCCTCTCAGTCAGACAGTCAGTCAGTGATTCGTTCACTGAACGTACTGAACGGGAGCTCCGCCTCCAAATCTGTCTCTTCCTCTCAGTCAGTCAGTCAGTCAGTGATTTGTGTACTGAACGTACTGAACAGAACAGTCGGGGAAAATAAATGTGATTGTTTTAGCAGCTTTCAGTTTTCAAACTGCAGCTTTATCCAACTAAATTCTCAGCTCATTAGTTTATTACTCACCACCGGCCGTTCTCAGTACGATCGCGAGCAGAACTAAACATTTGGCCGTGTTTCAGCTTATTAAATTCTGATTCGCAGGCAGAGCTGCGGAGAAGTACTGAAAGATTCAGTGAATGAATCCTTTGAACAAATCACTTCACTGAACTGATTCAGTACACTGAAAAGAACTGCTTTCCCCATCATTAATTCACTATGTTTACAAAAATAAAAATGATAAAATAAATATAAAAAGTAATATATAAAGTATCCAATGTGACCAAGCGATGAGAAAGATCAAACAGATTGTGGTGCATAGAACTATATCAGGCAAAGGAAGCTACTTTATATGGTGCCTATTTTAACCAAAAGGTGGTGCCATTACTATGTAAGTTGAACAGATAAACCTTGTTATTTTCTCTGTCAAAAATCCTCTTTTCTACTGTAGTCGTGAAGGCCCAAAGCAAACAAAGAAAGAAAGAAGAAAAGGTCAGGCCTGATGTTGAAGGATTTTTTGTATGGATTTTGGAGATACGGGGCTTAAACTTTGCAGATATCATACACTTTGAGTTTTAAAAGTAAACAAAAATAATAACCAAAAATAAAATAATTCAGAGACAATTTGACAACACTTGTAAGCCTCTTTGCACTGGTGCAAAACAAGAAAATTCAGAAAGCTTCAGTCTTTCTTGCTTTAGACAGTGTGTTTACAGCTTGGCTTGGTCACTTTGTAGTGATTGTCTTTATACTCCATGTCCACTTGTACCAGAAAGATCACAAAAGTTTATTTTCTGTTTGTTTTCTGTTCGATTGTCTTCCGTAACTTCCTCAGAGGTGAAAGGAGCAGGTCGGCTAGTATCATACGTCACCTGACATTGCGTCTTTTTGCAGTCTCTGTCTCTTGCAGTTAGTCAGTTTAGACGATGGAGTCCCAGTCAAAGTCATCCTGGATGTCATCTGCAGTGAGCATGCGTCTTACCTGGAAGTGTCCCAGAGGCAGCCTGGGTTGTAGCTGCTGCTGGCTCAGCTGGCTGAGATGTCCTAAACATGGAGAGTAGCAGCATTAATACACAAGATGCTGTAACACACACACACTGACATGTTTGTGCGTATTCTCTATTACACCAACTACGTTAAGTGTCATTACAGTCTATTATCAGTTAAAAAAGGGGTTAAAAAACTTAAGAAAAATGTATTTTGCTCCTGAACCTGCTATGGGTATCAACCATGATTGGAATCATTTCAATGAAAAGTGAGTTAACTTAAGCAGTTGAGCCTTTCTGGCAATATTCTGACAATTTTCCACTTTTGGCAGTTTCAATAATTCTTAGCAGATACACTTTATATCAACACAAACAGGAACACAGTCTTTATTTCAGCAGTAGGGATAACTTAAGGAAAAAAAACCTTCTTTCTAAAACATGTACAAAGCAATCCAGGTTTGCAAAGGTTTGTAACCACACTAGATAAAGACTTTTGAAGCCAAAGTTTCAAGAAATTTTACAGGTGGTAACAAAAAAACACTTTTTTTTAATCCCCACCAGCCTTAATGTTTTTTATAAAAACGAACCACCATAACTACTATAAACACTGTTAGGTAACACTAATGCATATCTCATGATGAATTTTTGCATGACTAACTGCATTAACTAATGGTGTAGTCACTATGAATTAATTCAATAAGTTTGTCTTTAATACATCTTTAGTTAAGGGACCATAATTCACGTCAGTTGGTATGGCCAATTCTAGGTGGAAATACAACTTTATTTTGGGACCGTGCATTTGCTAAGTCTCTCTGATTGAATTGTATTGAAAGTATTCAATACTCATGCACATTAAGCTGCATATCATGGATGAAAGTTGATATAAACATCGTACAAAAAGTAAGGAAATTTGTGTTTGGTAGATTATTTCTTTGTTGTAACAATGCTTCTTGGCACTAAATTGGATACCATTGGAAAGCCTATTCATTTCCCTTTTAAATGGTGCCAAATTTGTCAGTAACATACATTTTTGGGATAAGCAGCAGAGCTGAGTATGTGGGTTGCGCCCATGAAAAATTTGCCAAATCTTCTCTGCCAATGCCAAATAGCTTATTCTGCTGTTGCTATTGACTCTTTTTTGGAGCTTCTGATACCCCAGGTACTGACAATCAGGTGTCTGATTGGCAGCCCTTGTGAGCATGGGCCCTGCGAAAGTGGTCAGTTGGTGTCTGCCTGGCCTGGCTGCGAGGCTGAATACTTTATTTTTATTTTTGTGAAAAATTAAAGTGCTTGGTGACACTGTGCAGTCTGCTCCCCTTGCTCTTCCACCTCTTGAACATGAGGGGATAAAAAATTTGAGAGGAGCCCTGGGGCCTCTGAACCATAGACTGTAAAAATAATGGATGGGACAAGCTCCCCGGTGGAGTGAAGCTTTTATTTTAAGAGCTCCCCCTGCTGACTGGCTGCAGTATAGGTCATAAACCCCACCTTCTCAATGATAACAGATGGGATGTGGGTCAAACTGTAAAGTTAAAATACTCGTCACATAATTTTTTTCCAAACCTAAACTCTGCTGTGATCATTAATTATTATCACACTACATTGTGTTCAAGTGCTAATTTTTCTGTGAAGTTTCTTTTAAATAAGTTATTTGAGGTTGAAAAACTGGATTTTACGTCATATTTGACGATGATTGACAGCCGCCGATCTTGCGTAGCTCTCTTTGGGAATAGCAAATCTACGTAGCGAAAGAAAGCAGAGACGCCATTGAACTTTTCCACTCCGTGTTTGTCTCTCTTGGACTGACAGAATGAGTTGTTCTGCTGTAAACACATCTAACCAACCTATGGGATTTAAGGATATCTGCGTTAACTTGGTAATTTGAAATGTTTGTTTAATGTGCTAGTCGGGGGTCATGTCTTTAGCTAGCTAGCTAACACTGAAGTATGCTAACGGAGCTAACGTTATGGTGGCAATAATATGTTACTGATAGCTGGCTGTGACGGACATTATTTATTGTTTTATTTCAGTAAAGAATTAGGGGGGGGGATCCTGATAAACTATGCTGGCTGTGCTTCATGACACTATAACTTTATTATTCATATTAATGAACGATCAGATCCTTGGTAAAATTCAGCATATAGATGCGCATCAGCGACAATAACTTTACTTTACGGTCTGTTAAAGTAAAATAGAATACGTCCTGATGGTCTGCATTATCACTAACATTAACAGTTGGTCAGTCTTGCTCAGTGTGCACAGAATGTAAGAATAACAGGCTCAACTTTCTTCCGCTCCCCGTGATGCTGCTGCGGGGCTGACATTTTAAATTAATATTTGGAAGAGGCAGAATATTTCTTCATGTGTTCAGATAACACTAAAGTTATTATATGGTTCAATAATATCTCTAACTGTTCCAAGGAAAGAAACAGAACAGACACGTTAACATCTGCAGCCGACGGTAAAATGTAATATGAACCAAACATGATTTGTATAAGGACTCAAAACGGGCTGATCATATTCTACTTAGACTTCAACAGGTTGACTTTAGTGTTAATTTACTTAAGTTAATATTTAAGACTTCAGCACACAACCAGGAGTCAATTCAACAGTTTACAGTTGATTTGTTGTGACTTTAGTTCAGCTTATTCAGAATTTGTTCAGAAATACTCTTTTTGCTTTGCTCCATGATTATGTGATTCATATGTTATATAATAACTTTCCTTTTATTAACACTATTTCTGTTCAACAAGATTAATTTCTATTTAAAATGTTCTTTATATTATATATAATTATCATATTTGTCTGTTATAACTTTTTAGTTTTAGACTTAAATTTTAACCTCTCCAATAACAAAGCAGTCTCAAATATTTTTGAGGAAGTATAGCTAAAAAAAAAAATTCTACTTTGCATACAGTACATCCTCTGATAAATAAACTGAAGTACTTGGATTGCATTTCTGTGGTGTTCCTGTAGTGACTATGATGCAGCCAGACTGAAGCAGCAGGTTGTGAAGGTGGACGCCATCATCTTGTCTTTGCAGTGCTGATTCTGAAGAGCATGTCTTCACATTGGACTCAAAGGTAAAAATCTCTTAAATGACTGGACCGTTTTATTGTAACCCCTATCAGTACCAAAGTAATTTTAGTAACAATTTATATTTTTTCTTAAAATGTAAGGAAGACTAACAGAAGATTTTAACAGCCTCTATGGTTCTGCAAGAAGTTCATGTTTAAATTGTTCTTCTTTCTGTCTTCAAGGAAATCAACGCCCAAAGGAAACAGCAGTCCAGACTCTGATTCCAGCTCCGGTGAGGTTCTGCACACAAATTGGCTGTCTGATTCATTTAATGGGTATTTACCACACAACACCAAATCAGTACATTGAATTTACTTTTTTTAGCCAAATACTGAAGCTACTTCGGCGTATTTCTCATGAAGCACAAGAATCCAACTGACTGCAGTTTCTGCTCACACTGCTGAAATCATGTCTCACTGTTTAAGTTTCACAGTTGTACTGTGAGTAGTTAGAAATAATAAATCAACAGGAGACGCTGTGGTGCAGTGTGTGTGGTAAAATCAATAAATTCATGTACGAATGAACACAATACTTTTCTGCAGAATTGTTCTCTTGTTCCTTATCTGCAGCTGCAGTATCCTGTTTTACCACGTTTACTTCATCATCACACCTCATTATATTGGACCGCCTGCACTCAACGCTTTTGTGAATAAGAATGGTCAAAAGACGTTTCACATGCGCCCTTTCTGTGACGCGCTGAGAGCCTGAAGCAGAACGCCTGAGTTAACAGACAAAGTTCATAATCAGCTCATGCTATCAGATATCTTTATCTGGAGCTTCTGGCTTTGCTGAACCAGCTTTCTCATAGAAAGCCTGGATATGTTGAACTTGCTTCAGGGCATACAACAACTGACCCAAATATTCATCAATAACTTAAACAACAGCCAAATACAGCCACCTAGTGTCTAAAGTGAGTTTTGTCTAAACCAAAGGTGTTTATGTGTTTGCACTTCAGAAATAAAAGTTTCCATGGCTAACAAAAACCAGTATAAACCGGTTCTGCTCATCCATCTGTTCCTGTCCATAGACTCACTGATAAAACCAGTATAAACCAGTCCATCTGTCTGTCCCTGTCCATAGGCACACTGATAAAACCAGTATAAACCAGTTCATCTGTCTGTCCCTGTCCATAGGCTCACTGCAGCTGGGAAGAGAGAGGACACTTGGCTTCCATGTACGAGACACACAAGTCCCAGATTGTGTCACTCTTCAGGTAAAGAGCTGTCTCACTTTAAAGTGATATAAGGTGGAGTATTACAGAATCATACTAAGTAAGCCACAGTCTGTCTAACACTGAGTTAATGTAAACTCTATGTATATTCAATTATACAAGCTTTTGATTTCTGCCTCTCAGATTGATTCTGCTGTTTCAGTTTTTCACCTGTTAGCTACTGCTGAGTCATTGGCAAAAGTTAATTATTGTAACCCTGTTTATGTCATGATTATATGAGAGTATTTAATATCAGTTTAATTTATCAGGCTGGCCCATGTGATGACAGTTTACAATAATCTTTAATAGAAAGTGGTAGGAACACTTGTCTTAAAACATAAATTCATAAAGCTGGTCATATTATTGGATTCATCATGTCTTATTATATATTTTGTTTTTCCTCTTAAATAGTTATCCTGTCTTTAAAGCAAACTTTAGAACCTGAAGTTTAGCAGAACCTCAGGACAGATCCGATTTCAGGTCTGAAGCATAAACATCACAGTAAAATTCATTGTACTTTACATTTAACTCTGTGATTGTTTTTCTTTATTACAGAAGATGCCCTCTGATTCAGATCCATCAGCAACCCCTGACAACATGGAGGACTCGTCCCGAGCGTTTCCTGTCCTCTCTCGATGGACTTCTTCTCTTCAGTTATTAACTCTTGAAAACAGTAGCACAAAATGCCAGACTGTTTGACAAGTGTGTGATGGAATACCTTGCTATGCTTATTGGCTTTAAATATTTGATATTAAATAAGTTTAAAGGCCATTTAACTCAGACGAGCCCGGCTGTGACAAGCTGAGCTCATCTGATAGCTTTGCTGTTGTCATAGCTGTTGTTGGTCAAGAAGAAATTAATGTCAGTTCAAGGCCTTTTAAAATGTGAACTATAAACTAAATTATTTAACTGTGACCAACACTTTGTAGTGCTCCAGTTAATCAGAGACAGTCAGGTCAGATTTTTTAAAACTTTATTGAAACATTTTATGAAAAAACATTTGTAGAAAATAAGTAAGGGAGACCATCAGGTCGAATTGCTGGGACATAGGAGAAAGTATAAAAAATAATTTAACAAAGAAATCCCAACAAAAATCAAATAAAGTATAGAGATCCTGGATGATTTTTTGACTGTTAAAATATGATGGAAAAGCAAATCCAACACAATCCTCCAGCATCTGGCCTTTCAAACACAGGGCAACATCATGTATAGAAAAATAGCATTGAATATTGACTAGGATCTCTGTGTTTTATCTGAGGATGACTATAGTAGCCTTCTCACTGTTCACTGTCACAAAGCACCAGACTCTGTCCACCTTCTTCAGTTGTGCAGATGTCGATCAGCTCCTCTGGGTGATGGCAGAGAGGACTCTTCATCTGGGAAACCTGCTGGTGTAAGGTCATTTCATTCCCACAGTGGATGAGCAGGGCATCTGGCACAGCTCTTAGTCCAAGCACACTTGAAAAAAAGGGAGGAGGTTCCTTCAAAGTATGCGACCCCAGCCTGTACAGTGGTACATAGGCGTGCAGACGAAGGTTGAAATTAGTAGTGATATAGAGTCATTTTTAGGTTCTGTTGATTGTAAAACAGAAAAGAAAACATCACCTTTCTATTTAACATTTAGCTGTTGTATGACTCAGTGTGATTTTTATTTTAGAAGACTGTATTGTTAACAATAGCTTGTTTTTACAATCCTCTTATGAAACTTCAAAAAACCACAGGATATATAACTTTTAACAGATGATTTTAACTTACACTTCACCTCTGTGGAAGATGTCAGACCTGCTTTTATCTCTTCTTTGCCTAAATGAAGATACAAAAAACAATTGATTTACTGTTCACTTAAATATACTAGAAAAGCAGACATGAATCGCATTGCAAACTACCAGTTTCTAACAAAATACAACATATCTTACCACCTGTAGCCTACGGTATGTGGTGCTAACCTAGCTTAAATATAGAACGATTTCGGCAAAAACAAGAGATCCCAGCAGCCCATGTATTTTCAATAATGATCAAAATAGCGGGATTTTTTAAAACACTGTGTTTAAATATTAGACTTTGAATACGGCGGTTGGTTGTACTTACACATTTCTTCATAAGACTCGTAGACCGGCAGAGCGCTTTCAGCGTAGCTGGGCTGCGTTAGTCATCAGGGCAGTACGCAAAATGGGTGGGGCGTGTTACCAGGGCTCCTCCCGCCGGACCCTACTGCGCAGACTCTGGCTCCAAATGACGTCAAAATCGCAAGATGGAAGCGCCCGTTAGGGGCCTATTTTGGCTTCAAGAACGTTGCGTGGGAACAGCTACAGTGCGTGCCCACCGCTCTGAACCAAGAGCTTCGGGGCTCTGCTCCTTCATCCTTGCTCTCTTGCAAGGAGGAGGAAGAGAAGAAAGGGGAGTTAGGAAGACTTGTGACTCCTTTGTGACCACGGCCACAAAGGAGTGTTTACTCCACGGTTTATTGTTTCCTGACCGAGGGTGCTGGTGAGCTTGCTCACCCTACTGCGGCAAAGCTAGTCCTCTGAGCTTGAGGGGGACGAGGAGTGTGTTTCCTAGGCAGGCAAAGGTCAAAAGCTTCACCTTCCTGTTTCCTGAGAGTACTGGTCTGCAGATAGCAGAGTTGTGGCATTAAGAGAACATACTGACTGAGCCCCATATTTATACATCCTCTGGAAAATGGAGTCAGTCACGCGCTCCATTTTGTTAGGCAGAGAAATGTTGCTGGATGTCGAGAGTGAGCGACGGCTGGGATGGAGGTGGTAAGCCACTGAAGGCTCCACCACTGGGGGTTTGGCCAGTCCCAGGTCCCTCATTCCGTGGATTTCCAGCTGACAGTAACCCTTGGTGACAGTTTACTCTTCAATGGGCTAGACCAGTAACAGCTCATCTCCTTCATGCAAGCTGGTACTGCAGGGAGGAGTTGCTTACCGGGTGGTTGGGCTGGTGGGAGCCTCTTACCATCATAGAGGTCCCTCTCTGTCCCTTCAGCATCCAGGGCTGCAGGCCATGGGATCCCCAATTTGGAAGCAGCTCGATTGCACACTTTGTACAAGTTGCTGTCCACAGGGGAGGCAGTGTCAGACGCGCTGGGCGGTCTGAACTGCTGGACAGGAAATGTGGAGTTATCCTCCACATCTTCCATTTCGTCCACTGCCACTCTCAGTCTCTGTTCCAAAATCTTTTCTGGCATCGATGTGTAATGAGGACACGTGTGGGGGTCAGCCAGGGATGCTTGAGCATGTTTAGTGCCCATGCAGGCTATGCACATCGGATGAGGGTCCCTGCCTGAGATAGATGCCCCGCATGATGCGGGGCATAGGCGGGATGCAGCCTCTTTAGGGTTCGGTTCCGATCCTTTGGCGGGGGTTGGAGCTGTCGACATAGTGACCAGAAATGGAGAACTGAATAACAAGTCCAGTTAGGCGTACCATAACATGTTAGCCCACCGGCTAGGAACGCTAGCGACCGATGAATGAAGTTAGAAAAATAACTCCTGAGAATGCATGCTTGATTTCTGATCACCGTTTCAATGTTGCCTGAACGAAGACTCTTGTACCTGGTCTGAAAGTAGTTAAAATACGCTAAATTGAAGAACACATGTGTTTAATTTGTCTTTCTTGTCTTTGTGAAAAACCTAGTCGTGATTCTTAATGTAGATCTCAACTTTCAAAAGCATGTAGCAAATATCTCCAAGACAGCATTCTACCATCTCAGAAACCTATCCAAAGACAAATGTTTCTCATCACAGTCAGACTCTGAAAAGCTGGTTTACGCTTTTATCTCCAGCAGACTTGACTACTGCAATGCACTTTATGCTGGAGTAACAAAACAGTTGCTACATAAACTCCAGGTTTAGGAAAAAAGGCAAAACAAACTTATTATCAAAAGATGTCCAAATTGAAAAATCCACTAAAGGTCTAAAACACAAGGAGCTACGAGGAATCACCAGGAACAGGGAAAGACTGATGACTGACATTGACTGACACTAAAATGAACTGACAGGCAAACACAGGTGAGACAAATGATACAGGTGAAGACAATGAGGGTAATCAAAACTGGAGGGAAACACACACAGAGGCAGGAGAAAATTCAAAACAAGAAACACTGTGGACAAGAATTACTAAATAAATCACGAAACACTCAAGACACAGAACTCAAGAATTTAACAAGACACACTAAAATGGAGAAACTTTATAAAATAAAAACAAATGATAGTAAATTTGAAAAGCTAGGATTTCCTCTATATGGTACAACAGATTTAAGCCTAATAGCTCAAAAGTGAATAGTAACTAATAAAGTCCGCTGCTGATTAATGTCCTCCACAGAGGAAAATTAATTACTTGGTATCACAGGGCTATAAAAGCCAATCCAATGCAAAATGTAAGGGTTTTAACTGTCAGAGATGGTTATTCAACAATATGACTATATACATTAGTGAGTTGCAAATATTTATTTTGTTGTCTTAAAGTATATTTATCCTCCAAAGCATATTTTAGCTATCCTTTTTCAAACTTTTAATGCAGACACACAAATCTTCTACAGCATCTAAATAGGAATATATATATATATATGTACTGTTAAACCAATAAAATGTATTAAAGTAGTGCTCCAGATTGAAACCTAATCAAAACTGTATAGCCATATGGTGCTCTGTAAGGAGCTTGGCCAATCCTGAGAAAATTAGAAGTCGCATAACATAAGTCTTAATAAATTAAGGACCAAGTATTTTTGGTGTGGGATGGAGACCAGGGCCCCCTCAAATAAACTCTTTCACATGCCTGCATATATTATTCATTGTTATTTGTGATTGCAGAAATGAAAATGTAATTAATTGTAAAATGGTTTTAGGTTCTGAAATGGACCTACAATACCAAAAATACTTATTATATATTATTTTGAAAACAATGGTTCTCTCCCTTGTTTACTTTCGTTATAATGTGTTACATATTTGCCATTATGTCATAGCACTTATACACATATAATATATATATATATATAATATATCATATTGTCTATTGGCCATTTTGGGACACTGAAAAAAATACACTTGCATGGCTATTAACCTGCATACAAACATAAACTGCTTTGGAAATCCTCTTCCTGACCTTCTAAGAGTAAGATGTGCGAGTCACCTGTAATGTTTGGAGCCGTGTTGCTAATGGGAGGCATGTGGGGGTATCCTGGTGGGCCCATCAGAGAGGAAATGCTCTGTCTTGAGTCCATGTACATGTTCCCTGCAGTGGGAGAACAAACAGAGGGCAATAATTAACTGTCAGATTAGTATCCTGAATTTCACATTTGTGTCTTTGAGCTGCTGTCACCTGAACAGCTTTACTTCTTAGGCTAAGCCTGAAAAATCCATCAAAATGCGCTGTCATTTCATGGATCTCTGAATGTGGAAATATGCCTTCATCTTCGTATATTTACTGCATTGGCCATGAAGCAATTATTGTATGTCTTATGTGGGACTACAGATGGAAATTAGAGACTCGCTAAATCTGGTGCAACATTCTTTTCATTTTTCTTTGTATAAATGATCAATGTCATTGCATACTGTCCCCTGTTAAATAATAATAATAAATGCAATTAAAAATATATTAAATTTACTTTTACCTGAAGTTAACCAACTTGATAATCTATATTTTCTCTGGGAAAACAAATCTTGTAACACCAAGAAGATAAGACTTTTTCCCTTAAAGCTGACACCAGTTTGACGCTTTTATGGTATAACTTGTTTTTTTAGAAATTGTTATGTCGATACCATGCATTTAAATATGTGTATAGTAAAAAATAGCTTTTTCTGACCCATGCTCATGTGTTGGTTATGTTGGTTGTGTTGCCCGTGCTGAGTGTGTTGGCTGGCCTTCGAGTGCATTGCCCCATGCTGCTGAGCCGGGTGCTGTGGTGTTACTGGAAGTGTGGGGTGTTGGACCTGAGGTTGTGGGTGGGCGGCACCTTGAGGGGGGATGACCCCCGTGGCTGTAAAAAACTTGTTAATGGAGGAACAGAGGTCGGCAATCGTGGCAGTGTCCAGTGACCAGTTGTTTAGCTCAGCCCGCTGCATACTCTTCTTCAGACCTGATAGACAGACAGACAGACAGAGGAGGTGAGTATAGATGGTCACTTGAGGCTGAGTGTTTCTAATTTTCATGGATCTACTTGAAACTTAGTTTTCCATTTTCCACTTGAGCAGCTTCCAAATTAGTTTCAGTACTTTCAGTGACTTTTTACCAATCTGCCTTATTCAATCAAGCTACTTTCCTTTTAATATTTTTTATTGTGTGTGAAAAGTGAGTGTTCTGGTTTTCTCGGGTTTACAATATTAATGATTGGGGGATTAAAGATATTAGCAAATAGAAATATCTGACAAATGATAAAGAACAAACATTACATTTTGTATTCATCAGTGTGCATCTTGATTCATGAATAAGGCCAAATGGGTTTCCATCTTCAATTCAATCAATCAATATTTGTATAGCGTCAACTCATAACAAGTGTTATCTCGAGACACTTTACAAAAAGCAGGTAAAATACCTTACTTATTGCTATATTACAAAGACCCGTCTATCCATCATGAGCACTTTAGCAAAGCAGCAAAAGTTACAGTGGTAAGGTGCCTGTTCCCCCGGTAGTCTAAGCCTATAGCAGCATAACTAGGAGCTGGTCTACACCTTGAATCTCCGCAGCTGCATTCCATTGCAGTTAGACCTCCATCCCAATAAAGTGACAATGCTACAGTCTGAAAGCACTGTAGCTGTGTGGGCGGCTGTGGCTCAGTTAGTAAAGTTGTCGTCTGTCAACCAGAAGCTCGAGGGGTTGATCCCCAGCTCCTGCAGCAACATGTCCGATTTGTCCTTGGGCAAGACACTTAACCCCGAATTGCTCCCGCTGCTTCGTCGGCAGCGTATGAATGAGTATGCATGGGATTAGTTACTTCTAAAGGTCTCAGTAGGTAGCCACCACTGCCATCAGTATGTGAATGGGTAGGTGTGAAATGCGAAGTAAAAGTGCTTTGAATAGTCTGAAGACTAGAAAAGTGCTATATAAGCTTAAGTCCATTTACCATTACATTTAAATCAACATCTTTAAATCCTGGCTTAAAGACAGGATTTTACATGTGCCTTGTAGGCCTATATTGATATGCTGTCACACACTAATCCTGTGTCATGTTTTGCTGTCCTGCTCTCAGGCATCTTATGTGCTTTGCTAGATGTACAGTATGGCTGTCCTGTTTTAATGTATGTATTACGTTGTCTGGCTTTTAAGTGTCTTATATGTGCTTCTAGATGTAATATAATGTTTTTCCATTTTAGTCAAATTTTTATGTAGGCTATTGCTGTCCTTGCTTTTAAGTGTCCTTAATGTGCTCTGCTTAAGTGTGCAGTATTGCTGCTCTGTTTTTGTGTGGCTATTGTTCTGTTACTCACGTGCCCAGGGACTACAGTTGAAAATGAGCCATGATGGCTATACTGGACCATTTATGTAACTTTGAAAAGTATAAAATATAAATAAAAACAAATCTGCACATCATGAGAAATTTGCATAAAACAAATAACGTTTATGTTTACAATAAATTATTGTCATATGTGAATCTAGATCCCACATTATTAACCCACTATGATTGAACTGTCAACATGATGAAACAAGGCCCAAAAACATTTTGTTTCTCCTTCAATAGAGACACACCTGAGCTTCTATTCAACACACTGCTGTCTGTTAATTCCCCAAATAAAATTCATATGGCTTGTTTTTGTCAGCAAAAGAGACGAGAGGCTCGATCCCTGCTCTTTGGATGTGGGCCAGAGATGTAGAGGATAGAATTACTGCCACATGAAGGAGGGTCAATCGCTGCAGGAGAAAAAGAGAGCAAAGCAGCCTGGACCTGTGTGTTATAAGACCAGCTGTCGTTATCCATCATAGGTGCCCGCTTTGTGCACTGGCCATGATAAGAGGCTGTTATCCAGCTGGGGCCTAATTGGATTATTCACAACATACAATTGGGAAAGTGAGTGTGAGTGTGTGAGTGAATGAGTGAGTGAGAGAGAGCGTGAGAGTAGCAACCTCTGAGATGCACAATAATGACTGTTATTGGACCAGTACTATTACATCACTGCATATCAGTAGCTTAGCCAGAAAAGAGACTTTGGGTGTGCCACATTTATTGTCAGATTGATGTGCAGCTCTACAAATACTGTCACGAACGGTTGGAAAACAAGGGAGTGTGGACCCAAGTGCAGAATTAACTAACTATTTATTTTAACAAAAAGGCAAACAAAAGCTCACATCAGAAAGTTTAACAAAACACACAGGGATCAAAAACACAGGGCGCCACAGAGGAGCACGAGCAAAAACAGACATACCATCGAATGACATAGAAACAACAATAAACTGACACAGGAGAGACGAAACACAGAGACTAAATAGACACAGGGGTAATCAAACACAGGTGAGACTAACGACACAGGTGAAGACAATCAAGGCAATCAAGGCAGGGAGAAACACAAGACTAGAAACACTGAGGACAATACAAAATAAATCATGAAACACTAAAGACACACAGAACTCAAGAGTCAAACAAAACACACTAGAACACAGAGATACACGAGGATAATAAATGACAAAATAAAACAGAAAACACTTAAGACAAATCTAGGAAACCATGAACACTAGGAAACATTAACACACAAGGGAAACAAGCAACACTGGGATAAAACAGGGAAACTCAAACACAAAACCAAATCATGACAAATACATCACAACAGGCTACATAACGCTCCACTCTGCTACAATAAAGTCATAACAAACAGTATAAATAGTACCAGACTATTTGCTTTACAGCCCAGAGAGTATGAGTGATGCTTGGCTTGAACCTCAAACCGTGACTTAATAAATGTCAAGTGTCAAAACAGCGATTGGAAAATAAGTGTTAATTTAGCAGATCTTCCCTCTGCTGCGCGCTGAGGAGAAACTGGCAGTTTTTAAGCTCTGGCAGTTTTTAAGCTCCAGCAGCTGGATCTGCACCTTAGACAGCGGCACGCAACAGTTTTTTCTACTATTGTGTTGCTGTAATGTTAAAAGTTGGTGATTAACGGGATGATTTGGGTGCAGTAGGTAGTTAAATAACACGTTTGCCGTCGGGCAGAGCGGATTGGCTGTTGGCCGGGTGAGTGTGGGGCTTAAAAAATAATAATTACTACGCATCACCACAGAATAGGCTGGGCTGATGTGCAAAGATATACTCAGGATCACCCATATAGACATCAAACTATATAAAATATAACCATACATTACACTCAGGATTGCCAACATAGCCATAAACTGCCTATATAAAATATAACAATACCGTAGGCTCTGCAGCCACCTGTGCAGGAGGAGTCACTCCTGTTGATGCCGGGCCCGGGGAGAGAGAAACATCTTCTTTAGTTGTAGTGTTAGGCCTTGTGTCCAGCTGGCCATCAAGCCGAGGTTTTTTAAAGAAGAAATTGAGTAGGGAGTAGTTGCGTACAGTGTTTTATTTATTTACAATGCGCTGCAACGTCTACCAAGATGCTGGGGTCACTGTCAGGTCAACGGCTATTTGCGGATCGGTTGTCAAGCCAGCTTCAAAACTTTAATTTCAAAACTTTAATTACATTTAAAATTAACAAATATTGTAATTAAACAACAATAGCATAGTATACAAAAAAAAACATCTAATTTAAAAATAAAAATGATTCTTCTGTTTTTTTTTGGGTGTGCCAGCTGCCACTTTGGGCACCGGCACACTCTGGCACACCCGTGGCTACGCCACTGCTGCATATTATAAAATTCTGCCTCTACGAATGGGATTATATGAAAGAGCAGAGAGGAACCATGATGGTTTAATTAAACTAACTGATTAGGACTAACACGCTGCCATAGACAGCTTTATCAATATTTATTTCAGAGGAAGGCCTAGTTTACATTGTTTGTGTGTGTGTGTGTGTGTGTGTGTGTGTGTGTGTGTGTGTGTGTGTGTGTGTGTGTGTGTGTGTGTGTGTGTGTGTGTGTGTGTGTGTGTGTGTGTCAGGGTTGGAAATTAACTGCGGTCAAGCCAGCCTCTCCTTGCTTTTACATGATCAAGTAAGCCACCCCTAAATTTGAAGTCCACCCTTTTCCAAGCAAAAGTGCTAAATGCCTAAGTCTGACCATAAAACTGGCTATGTGATACACTTGTATGGAATGGGAGCAAACACTACTGCGAATCTGCGATAACATATCCATTTTTCAAAATAAGGTATTCACAATTAAACAGTTTTCCTGGGAAAGCAAGTACACCATGATTCTGAGATGGTTGGACTTAATACTTATTGGACTACATGCTGCAGTAGTATGAAGTACTTTTACAGTGTACTTTTTGAGTAATCCAATGTCAAAGTACTTTATATGTCATGATATTGAGTCTTATTTTTATGACTTTGGTGTCTTGTAAAAACAAATTCTACCATAAGTACATCATGACTCTAATATGACTATACTTAGTACTTCTTAGACTACATGCTGCAGTACTATGAAGTACTTTTACTGTGTACTTTTGAGACTTAAATTATACCAGGATCCTGCTTGTTCCGTTCTCACTTCATGACAAGAGTCAGGCATAAGGCCCACACGGCTCTGCCACCTCCTAGTGTCAGTGTTTCTAATTACAATGATAGGCTATCTGCTGGAATGACTTGACTCCATGTCTCTTTAACCAAGCGCAGCCCGGATTAGAACCTCAATTTCAGCGGGTCTACCTGCTGAAGGTGTGTTAAAACCGACTCCTCGCTGTCTTAAGTCTATGATTAAAAGGAGCGGGCCGTGGAGGTGACAAGTGGTCAAAAGAGCGGCTGCCAATACTTTTACTCCTGACAGCCTTTTCGCTAATTGTAACTCCGCTAAAACGTCTACCTCTCGATAATAAAGATTTTCTATATCTGACAAGGTCTTCATAATAAAAGGTCCAAGTTTAAATATATATGACAGGCTTTTATTGTGAAACAGCGATATCAGGAATGGGGTATTTTCAGCTCTAGCAACTTAACACAGACTTCTGAAATACAAACACAGGATGGAAACAAAACTTGCCTATCTCACAGATTTAGTTCTCTCAGTCTACCTTAGTGCAGTTAAATCAGCCTTTAAGCACATAACTGAATGGAAACTCCTGCCAGCCTCAAAATACTGAACTAAAATAAGTAAAATAAACGTTTTTCTGTTTATAAGTGAGAAAAAAGATGTCAGTATTTTCTTTAATTGTTGAAGGATATTTCCTTCATAAAATAGTAGGCTAAATTATTTAAAAACTGTAAGCCTTGATTTGATATTAAACATCATGACATTTAGCTGCCGGTAATAAAGTGGCAGGTAAAAAAAAATTGTGATTTTTGAATCCACCAGTCACAGTGTCAGTTAGGTGAAAAAGTTCATTTCCAACCATGTGTGTGTGTGTGTGTGTGTGTGTGTGTGTGTGTGTGTGTGTGTGTGTGTGTGTGTGTGTGTGTGTGTGTGTGTGTGTGTGTGTGTGTGTGTGTGTGTGTGTGTGTGTGTGTGAGTGAGTGAGTGCAGTATGTGTCTTACCTTGAAATGGGGAGAGGTCTACATCAGCCCAGTTGTAGCTGGTAGCAATCCGGCAGCTCTCCTTCAGCCAGTCTAGGTTGGGGTAACAGTCTGATGAAATGCCTAAGAGAGGGGGCACACATCCACATCCACTTTTTACATGTTATCAATTACAAAGGAATTAGGGCTTAAACTGTTGACATCAGGAAGGCTAGAAACATCACCACTGACCCCTCCCAACCAGCACATCACTTGTTCACTCTTTTGCCATCAGGGAAGAGGTGCAGAACCATCACCAGCAGAACATCACGCTTCAGAGAAAGCACCTACCTCCAAGCAATACGACACTTAAATATGGCTTAACGTTTTGATGTTTTCTTTTTCTTTTTCCCTGTTGGTTCCCAGTATGGACTGGACAAACAGACTGTCACCATTATTATGATACAATGTACTTATGGACTGTCCCCCCCTGTACTATGGTCTGCCCCTCCCCTGCACTATGGATTGCCCCCCTACACTCCATTTGCCATTTGCACTATGGACTGTTCTTACTGCCCTCTGGCTGGACCAAGCACTTTATGGACTGGTTACACAACCTGTCTACATACACCCTTATGTTTGTGCATTTATGTCATTGTGTGGTATATGTGAGCACAACAAGACAAATTCATATCAACTGTATTGTTGAAATGGCTAATAATAAACTTGAACTTGAACTTATTTTAACTATCAGAAAAGGTGTGGATTATTATTTCATTTTGTCTTTTATTTGGTCGAGGTGACATCTTTAATATGCTTTCTTAGAGAAGTAATTTTTTTCTTGATAAATGATTTTCAAGGTAATTTCATGTTTAATGTTTTTTGCATATATTTCACCTTTTTAATATTAAAAATATTGAATTAATATGAGTCATTTCAGTTTAACAGTGTTGCATTATTAAAACCAGGTGAACTGCTTCAAATTAAAATGGGCAATCTGCCTCCTCTGTCAACCACAAGGTGGAGTGACACAGCAACACTGCAGCCTATCTATACTTTAAAAAAAAAGAGAGAGAGAAAGGAGATGCTTTTTGCTACCTTTGCCACCAAAAACTAAACAACAATACATTCTGAAGCCTGGGATCAAAGACAGAGGGATTGCTTTCATTCATCCTGTGATTCGTTAATGGGTATACTAACCTAGATACACAGTGTCTTCTGGCCTAAGAGCTGTGTCGCAGAGAAACAAAAAAAGAAAAAAAGAGTGGGAATATGAGCCAGAAAAGCCATGGGGAAGCTTTGGAGATTCCAGTCTGTATCTGCACTGCCTCATAATCTCAAATTCTGATAGCGATGACTACATCCCCAGAGACTGTCCAGACTTTTTTTAAAGGCAACATTAGCTAAATTTTTTAAGACACAAAAGATTGCAAAGTCACCATTTAAAGTACATAAAAAAGTGCATGCAAACTCCTGCACACGGTCTAACTTGCACTATTTTCTGGTCTGTTGGGACCAAAAAAATATTAACAATTAGTTCATTGCAAGTAAGACAATGTGCATTACTTTCCTATTAACATGTCTTATGAAATAAATGTCCCAATTTTTTATTTAAATTTAAACTACAAACAAAAGAAAATATGCTTTTTTGATATGTAGATACAAATATTAGCCTTTGCAAAAAAGGGCCTCTGACAGGGCAAATAGCCAATCACAGTTTAGGATATTTGGGGTGGTAAATCAGATTTCTAGAAGAGCCCATGCCACCCCTGGACACCCCTTTGGACACACCCCTGTATATCTAAAAAGAAAGTTAAATAACTAAGGGGTCTTCCACACAATACATATATATACATATATCCAAGTGTTTTATATCTGTGTAACTTCCTACACAATATCTTGCTTTAAACAAGTGTCTCTGAAGCCAAATTCCTACATAAACTGTACATCCTCAGGAAACTAACAAATACTAAATTGGACACTGTACTCACCTGTTGTTGGGCAGGTCTGTCCGGCATGATTTGGGTTGGAGAGAGATGGGTGCTGCTGGGAATGAGCTGGGTGGTGTTTGTTCTGGATGTGCTGCTGAGGGTGGTAGGGGTGGTGTGACATCTGACCATGGTTGTTTTGGTGGTGGTGGACGCCACCACTTCCAGCACCTAGTGAGTGTTGGTAGGAGCAGTTAGTCCGAACCTGCAGGTGGGAGTCACCAGGTATACCTATCAAACCTGCGAGGAAAAGAACAAAACAAAAAATATCCCAAGTGAGCACAATAACCTGAAGCCGTATTATAGAACAAAAATTAGAAATTATAAACCAATCATTACAACATGGTGAAATCTTTATTGCAATAAAAGTAGCTTTTACTAAACTATTAATTATTGAAAAATAGATTGGAATGAAATAGAATACAAAGAAAGACTTCAGAGTAGAAAAAGGTCAAGAGATTTCCATAGAGAAGGAGTGGATAGAATCAAAATCCTAGTTACATATTTTCTTGACCTTCGTGCAGGTAAAATACATTTTCTGGTCGATAGCACTTTATGTTACACCAAAGTGATAAGATGGTAATAGTGGGCTTATAGTGTGGTAATAAAGTGTTTATGGTCTCTATTAACTGACAGAAAATTTACAAATAATCAGTTATTAGCCCTTTTCAGAGTACAATTCCATCACAGCGCTATAATGAAGCTCTGACGACAAAGAGGCATTCCGCTCTTGCGGGGGTTTAGGTGTTTTATGTGGTCTTGATTGCTTCAAAATAAACCATGCAATAATCAGTTCAAGAGTCAACCATCTTTCGTAGGGATTCTACACAAAGGGTTCAGTTTTTGTAAAATACATTGGGCCTCATTCACAAACAGTGCGTATGCACAAATCTATAGTTAAATCGTTCGTACAAACGTTTGCCGCACAAATCTGAGATTCATCTATATATTTTTATTTGAAGTTATTCTTATTCTGTGAACAAAAAAAGAACAAAAAAGTTCTTTTAACTAAATGCATGACATATTAATACTACATTCAGTAAAAAAAATATTAACAATATGTATATATATATATATATATATATATATATATATATATATATATATATATACATATAAGCATATATGTTCAAAAGACAACAATTAAAAAAGTTAATTTATTAATGCATTGACGAAATATATTAAATAACCATAAAATGTATGCCTTTTCATCATTATACTTCATTATACTTCAGCCAAGGCCTTGAGATGGAAGATACAGTGGTTCCAAACTGCTGCAGGAGAAACGCCTTGTACTTTTTTTTTTTACCAGACCATTGTGGCAAACTGTCATTGCCCTGGCCCCGTCACTGCATGTGCCACAGCAGTGCCCCGATTCAACATCATTCTCCTTCATGAAATCATTCAAGACTTTTAAGATTTCTTCTGCTGTAGTGTGAGCTGGCAGAGAATGGCAAAATAAAAACTCCTCCTGGAGAGCTCTTCGGTGTAGCGCACATACACCAGGAAGCAGTAAGGTTTCACCGTAAGATTGTGGGGCCTACCTGCCTTAGCTATGCGTAATGCAACGCAATATGATGCTTCATGGTAGGTAGGTAGGTAGGTAGGTAGGTAGGTAGAGATAGATAGATAGAGAGATGGATGACCTGGGAGTCTCTGATAACAAGGTCACAGCACCTTCATCCACACTCACCACCTGCCTGGAGGATATAAACGTCCTCCATTTAAACAGTCCAAAAACTTAAGCCATCCTTGTTGGCACCCCTGACAAGTTTAGTCAGCCCTTATAACTACCATATCCCTTTCTAGTCAAGACATCTATCTCTCACCACTGGTCAAAAAATTAACCTAATCTAACCTTTGAATCACACATAAAACACATCTGCAAAACCTCATTCTTCCATCTCAAGAACGAAACTCCGCCCCTTGCTCAGCCTCAAAGGTGTTGAGAAACTTGTCCACGCCTTTGTCTACCTCAGGCTCGATTACTGCAACTCACTTCTCATCAGGATCCCTGGCAAGAGCGTACATACAGAACAGTGCTGCCAGGATCCTGATGAGAGTGTGGAAACACAAGCACATTACACCCATCCTTCATTCACTACACTGGCTTCCAATCTCACTCAGGATCAAATTTAAAATCTCCTTACTTAACCATCAATGAAAAAACACAGCAATGCCCCTCCAATCCTTAGAGAACTGCTCACTCGCACAAGACAGAGTTTGAGGTTTCTGTTTAAGATGACCTAAAGGCATTACTTCCATGTGCAGAGATTGATTCTGTAGCCTTACTAAACATCTTAATGATCTCAATAAGAGCAGGGATAGATACATCAGGCTTTGTCAAAGTGACAAAGGTGTCATCTGCATAGAGAGTAATCTTATGCTGTCTGTCTGCAATGGTTAGGCCATGTATGCCCTTGTTTGTCCTGATTGTTTGTCAGCCTCAGCAAGCGGCTCGATAGCCAGCGCAAATAGCAGAGGCGAGAAAGGGTCATCTCCGAATGTGAAAATTATATGACCGCAAGCCATTTGTGAGCAATGCAGGATTGTTCTGTTCCCTCCTTCAATTTCTGTCTAGTGTCATAACTTTTTTCAAAGCTAGTTGTCATTTATGGGACGCCGATTGTAAAGTTGCGCACACTAAAAATAACAGCAACATTTCTTCACATTAAGTTAAAAAACATGCCTAAAAATTGATGTAAATTTTAAAAAGTCACTTTTTAATCACATTTAGACCAATAGTTTGAATTTTGTCATTATTAGTTTAAGTGAATATGAATAAAAAAAATTATATAAGCAATTCTAAATGTTACATATTATATCTACATTTAAATGTTGTATCTAAATGTTTAATGGTGTATCTTGTTAACAATACATGTACTGATTCTATATATTTAGAATTTCTAAATATTATATTATATAAATATTGGCTGGTATGGTATTATATGTTTCTAAATATTGAGAACCAAACTAAACATTTAGTTAAGATTATTATTAACGCCCAAATTTCCCATCTGGGGATCAATAAAGTATTATCTTATCCTAATATGTACAAATCTTTGGAAAATACTAAGTTTATTTAGCTTCGATTCTAAATATTTTGAAACTTAGATAAATGTTTAGGATAAAACTCAATACATAGGATCAAAGCGAAATATTCAGAATCTTAAAGGACTTATGTACTGGACTAATACTGCTTTTCAACAAGTTGATATAAGTCTCAGAGGTCCCTAAAATATGTCTTTGAAGTTTCTTTTTCAAAATCAACTCTGATCCTGTATTTTAGCAAACCTATGAACCCCTCTATTTTAGCCCTTCTCAAAACAGGCTGTTTCCGTGTCTATAGCTTTAAATGCAAGTGAGCTGTGTCCTCTGGAACTGGATGTGCTGTAGGCTTTTTCTGTTGTTTATGTTGGAAAGGTGGGACTCAGTGGAGCAGGCAAAAGACAGATGGACTTTGCTCATAATTGGGGGGTTTATAGACGGACTAGGGCCACATTTGAATGTCAGAAAAACATGGTAAAGTGTATTTTGCATAATATGTGACTTTTAACAAAATATTTAAAATCCATCCATCCATTTTCTCCTGCTTATCTGAGGTCGGGTCACGGTGGTAGCAGGCGCAGTAAGTCAACCCAGACTTCCCTCTCCCCAGCAATGTTTTCCAGCTCCTTCTGGGGGATTCCGAGGAGTTTCCAGGCTAGACGGGATATATAATCCCTTCACCGCATTCTGGGTCTGCCCCGGGGTCTCCTCCCAGTTGGTCGTGCCTGGAAAACTTCTAAAGGGAGGCGTCCAGGAGGCATCCTTAACAGATGCCCAAACCACCTCAACTGGCTCCTTTCGATGCGGAGAAACAGCCGCTCTACTACGAGCTCCCCCCAAATGTCATAGCTCCTCACCCTATCTCTAAGACTGAGCCCAGCCACCTTCCAGAGGAAGCTCATTTCGGCTGCTTGTATCCACAATCTCATTCTTTCGGTCACTACCCATAGCTCATGACCATAGGTGAGGGTTGGAATGTAGATCGACCGGTAAATCGAGAGCTTTGCCTTCAGGCTCAGCTCCCTCTTTGCCACAACAGTCCGGCACAACGCCTGCATTACTGCTGACGCCGAGCCAATCCGTCTGTCAATCTCACGCTCCATCCTACCCTCACTCGTGAAGAAGACCCCGAGGTACTTGAACTCCTCCACTTGGAGCAAGGACTCACTCCCCACCCGGAGAGCGCAATCCACCTTTTTCCGGCAGAGAACCATGGCCTCGGACTTGGAGGTGCTAACCCTTATCCCAGCTGCTTCGCACTTGGCTACAAACCGCCCCAATGCCTGCTGGAGGTCCCAGCTTGAGGAAGCCAACAAAACCATGTTATCTGCAAAAAGCAGAGACGAGATTTTGAGGTCCCCAAACTGGAAACCCTCCTCCCCCCGGCTGCTCCTTGAGATCCTGACCATGAAGATCACAAACAGGACGGGTGACAACACTGGCGGAGGCCGACACGCACTGGGAACGTGTCTGACTTTGTGCTGAGGAGGCGGACACAGCTCCCACTTTGGTCATACAGGGACCAGATGGCTCGTATCAACGGCCCTGGGGCCCAATATTCCCACAGTACCCCCAACGTGATCCCCCAAGGGACACGGTCAAAAGCCTTCTCCAAATCCACAAAACACATGTAGACTGGATGAGCAAATTCCCATGCTCCCCCAAGAAGCCCTGCGAGGGTAAAGAGCTGGTCCACTGTCCCACGGCCGGGACCGAATCCACATTGTTCCTACTGTATCCGAGGTTCGACAGTCAAACATAAAATTATCTTTAATTAAAGTTTTTTTTTTAAATGACAAAGTTCACAAATTGCTCTAAATGTTATTAAAAATTGACTTTTCAATGTTGCTGTTCTTTCAGGTGTGCACAACTTTACAACCTGCGCCCCATAGCCATTGACTTTTCTTCCCACAAGTTGAAGAGGACTTTTACAGAGGTAGAATCCAGGCAGCAGGTATGAAGCTCTACAAAGCGACTCCCCTCTCCTCACTTACAAAACAAATGTTGGTCTGTGTGAGAAGAAATAGGGAGAGGGAAGGTGATTGGAGGCGGGTCGGATGGTGGGGGGTCTGAAATGGAGAAGGTCAGGGGCCTGTACTACGAAGTGAGATTAACATACCCAAGGTATTTTTGGGTAATCTGGCTACACTAACCGTAACATGAGACCGTGATTAACAGTCATATGAAGCCGGTTATCAACCTGATAACTCACCCTTGTTGGGGTTTTATCAAGTCAACTTTGGTTATATTCTTTAATAATTATATTTAATAATTAATAATATAAATAACAATATCATTAAACTTTGTTTAATCAACTCTTGGGGCACCACCCTGGAATCAGGGAAATATAACCAAAATATCACTCAAATCAGTCTCAAATTAGTTACTTAATTACTAATATTATTAATAACTAGGTGTGTGTGTGAGTGTGTGTGTGTGTGTGTGTGTGTGTGTGTGTGTCTGTCTGTGGATGAAAAAGAGAGAGGAGGGGGAGAGAGGGGGGAGATTGCTTCGCACCCACGTGGTCGCCCCTTACGATGGCGCACACATAACAAAGACCTGGCGTGATCTATTGTCAAAAGAGGCCGAGTTCGGCCCTGCACGATCTATGTCTCTGAGGCGTTTGAATGGCCGCGAGTGTACAGATCTCTATGTGTGAGTGTGCAGCCTATGTGTGTACTGGAGCGGTGGTGGAGTTAGTCTCCAGATGTGCGTCTACACGGAAATGTGTGTGTGTGTGTGTGTGTGTGTGTGTGTGTGTGTGTGTGTGTGTGTGTGTGTGTGTGTGTGTGTGTGTGTGTCTGTGTCTGTGTCTGTGTGCGTTAGTTAGAGGAGGAGAAAAGGAGAGAAATGCGTGCCTGAAGAGGCCGGATCACAGTTCAAATCCCGCGCCACAACTTGGAGTAATTCCCTTCATTCACAGAAAGGAACCAATGGCCAAATTCAAGTTAATACGGTTTACACTGGCCTTTCCGATCAGAAGAGTAATCACTGGTTATAACGCTGTTACGCTAAACACATATAGGATGCAGCAGTTCAAAACGGGAACAACAAGAGTTTTAAACAGGTAAAATTACAGTTTTCGCATCAATCAAACAATTGTTAAAAAAACACTCTCTAAAGCTAATTCTGCCCAGACCTAATTAAGTCTCACTTATGAATCGCTCTGCCTGCGATTGGTGAAGGAAAAAGAGTCCGGCAATGGAACAGATCTTCTGTCCGTCCTGGTACAGAGGCATTTGATGGTGGCGAGGGTCCCTTATGGCAAGAGCGGCTTCGATGTGTCCTCGTCGAGTGGAAAGATGTCCGTTGGTGTCCGTTGATGACCTTTCGTTGCAGGACGGAATAAGACCCTTATCTTTCTGATAATCTGTCATAGTCTGATGCTCTCCAAGAAACTGAGATGCGTTCACTGGACAATCTGAGCTCGGAATTCAGAACACTGCCGGCCGCGGATTACCTGCACGCCAAAACTTAAAACAAAGACAGATTTTTGCAGGAAAACAGGAGATGAGCTTGTGTCTCCAAACACTTGAAGTCAGCGCGTGGAAAGAGAGAGAGCAATGGAAGTCTTGGAGTTTTGTAGCCTGGCCTGCTTCATGGGGGGTCTACCTCAGGTCCCCTCCAATGAGAAGAGAGAGGTTCCGGTCCCCTCCCTTTCTTCACACGTAGGTGTGAAGTATTGCAGGGGATTCTGGGATTAAGAGTCCTTTAGGTCTCTTTGTGATCTCAGTGAATAACTTAAATGAGGCTTCTCAGAGATGCAGGCCCAAGTCCATTGTTTGCCTGCATGGCCCAACACCCTTGAGTTTTCAAGAGCGAGTTCACATAAAAGGGGCGGAGTTAGCGTGATATAACATCGTCACAAGCATAACTGCGTCTCCCGTCAGCAGACCTTCATATCTCACAAACTCTGAACAAACTATTAATTATATAAAGACGTTTAAAACAAACAGGCTCCCAGAGACTAAAGTTACACAGCTACAGGAACAAATGCAGGGAGAAAAATTGGCAGATAAAAGAAAAATTGCCGAGTATTAATGTCCAAACTATGGCTTATTAAAAACATTTTTTTTCCCATCATTAGTTCACGTTAGAACTGATTATAATAACTTAACTGATTTTGTTTCTCCTACTCTTTTATGTGGCGATTATAACAGTTTGAGAAGTTATATTTCAGCTGCAGCTCTGATGATAACAGACAGAGCGGCATGGAGACACTAAACATTCATATGAAAATATAATTCAAAGACATAAGAAGATATTCATAATTTAACATCTTAAAAACACGACTCATGATGTTGAATGATTAAGGATGATATCAGTTAAAAATAATTATTAACTTCACAGACTATAATGTTATTATACGGAACACATGGGTCTCTCTCCCTCCTCCCCCTTCTCGATCAGCTGCGGGAGCTCCACAATCAAAAGATCGGATTGGTCAGTGTGCAGAGATTTCCACAGGTTGATCTCATATCTCAAACATAACCTGCTCTGGAGCAGGTTAGGTGTGCAGCATAAGTTACCGTGGCGATATACCCAGGTAAGAAGTGAACAATCTTTGTAGGATTGAAAACCCAGGGTTAACCCTGAAGTTACCTCGCTATCTCCAAATCCCACTTTGTAGTACAGGCCCCTGGTGACCTAAAATTTTCAGGAGGCAATAAGCAAGTTGCTACACAAACATTAGAACCAATCTGATTAACTGCAACTAAAGCTACAGAACCATTTAGCTCAGATCGACTGCAGAGCACCTGCTCGACTGCATTTTTTTCTCCTTCTGTTGAATTCTTCCTCCTAATTCCCTTCACTCATTTGAATGATCAAGTCATTAAATGCAGATATGTGCAACAACAGAGTGTTTGTTTATTGAAATACAATAGAGTAGGAGTAAAATGTGGTGGAGGTTAATACCTGAATGCTTTTAATGCTGGGAAAGCAGCGCTATAGCTATTCTTTCCATTAGGGGCTTAATGCTGACAGTCACTTACTTGCATGAAGCCTGACATAGAGGTTTATAGTTTTGGTGTGTTCACTCATCAATAAAGTTGATAGGCACACATAAAAAGATACACACTAAGCATCAAAAAACATGAAGGTTTACACCCACCTTGCTGGGAGAATGACTGCTCAAAGACACACTTGTAAAGACTACGGAAAGAAGCGCTGAGGTCCTCGAAGTCTGAGAAGCAGGGCTGCTTGTGCCGTGACTCCTGGATTGGCAAACCGCACTGGGACTGTGCAGGAGGAGGGGCAGGCGGCAGCTTGGAAGACTGCTGAAGGCTCAAGGACTGAGATGAAGGCTCTGATTGGCTACTCCCCTTCAAGAGAGACAGAGGAGAGAGAGGGCAGAAAGAAGAGGCAGAAAGAGACGGAATGTGAGAGATACAATAAGAGAAACAGGAAAGCAATTGAGGTTTTTGTTCTCAATTTTTGTAAGGCTACAATCTGCTGTCAGGCCAACATCAGCACTGCATCAAAAACCACTCCTCATTCAAATCAAAGAGGCCCATAAGGCCAATGTGCCAATAAAAAAGGTTTTGCAACATTACGTTTGAAAACAGTCATCCATCAGTTCAGTTTTTATCAAAACAAAATGTAACATCTTCCATCAAACTGTTGCTTTCATTTACTAATCAGACTCAATTCAATTCAATTCAATTCAAAAAACTTTATTTGTCCCCGGGGGGGCAATTCAAAGGCACACAGAGCAGTAAATTAACAACAGTGCAAGTAAACAAAACATTTTAACCTAAATAGAAAGTGTCAATTTAAATACAACTTAAAGCTTAAACTTAACTTAAAAATACAAAATATAAAAGAGTAGATATAAGTGGACAGTGATCGGACTAACAGATGTAAACAGATGTAACCATAACTATGTGCAGTAGTGACCAGATGTAGACAGAACTATGTGCGGTAACGAGAAATAAATATATATATACAGAACTATGTGCAGTAGTGACCAGATGTAAACAGAACTATGTGCAGTAAACAAGAAATAAATATATATATACAGAACTATGTGCAGTAGTGACCAGATGTAAACAGAACTATATGCAGTAAAGGAGAAATAAATATATATATATACAGAGCTATGTGCAAGTAGGCAAATACTAAATGATAAGTTATTAAGGTGCATGGTGAATAATGGAACAACAGAACTAACATATACAATATAACTTTAAGGTAAAAATTAGATAAATAAAGTGACCGTAACTGTAAAGGTAAGAATTAAATAAATAAAGTGACCGTAGTGCAATGACGGAGAAGAAACAACAGGAATAAATTAACCAGAACTGTATGAATACTGATATAAAATGGATAGAATAAAGTGATGTAGTGCATGAGACCAGATAAAGCAGAGGCAGTTAAGGTGCTCAACAAGGTTTTGAGCAATTATTGTAACAGTACAGATTTAAGATTTTTACAAATCTCTGCAACTTCAACACACTTTTCCTGAGCTACAAAAATTCTAGTTAAACTTTTACATACTTCTATCAGAAATATTACACATTGTAAATACATGTTTTGACAAAGCCTTTTTAGTCCGACAGTGGCCTTATAATATTGATATATTGTATATATATATATATATATATATATATATATATATATATATATATACTCTTTTCTTGAGCATCACTCAGTGGCCGGGGGTCTTCTTTAGCTACTAGCTTTGTGTTAGCATGTTGCCTCTGCAGGTGCTTGAAAAGATTTGATATTGAGTTCGCTGCAGTCGAGAGTTTCTGACCTGGGCACAGTTTACACTTTACCGTCACAAGTAGTGTGTATATTTCCAAGCCTGAAAAAGATGACCTGATTTGGGCCTTGCTGACATTTTCGTTTTCTCCCTCCATGAGTAGCTACACTTGAGTGTGACCCGTCACCTGCGTCACGTGACGTGAGCAAGGTCAGACATGAGTCAGACGAAGTGTTGTGTGAGCACGCATGAAAAAGGACAGTTGATTTGTTTTTCTGTCCTCCCGTTATGCAGACAGTTCAAGGACTTGAAGTAATGCAAGTAACAAGGTAATTGCTTGATTAGTAACAGTAACGTGATTACTGAGTTATATTACTGCGTTACAGACAAATGTAATCTATATCTAATTACGGTAATGCATTACTCCCAACACTGCTCCAATCTCGTTTTTTATTGGGAGTGCAGCCTGTCGTCCTCCTCCACCCCTTATTGTTTCACTCCATTGATGGTGAAAAGGTGTGAAGTTGTTACAAAGAAAAAAATTTGACGGGCTGGGATTTTTTAGAATTCCGGTAATATTGAAGAAATGTTCTTGGACAAAGCTGGCCTTTACAATTTTAGTATATGGTATTTGGTAAAAAAAAAGAAGAGACATGTCAAATTCACTGCAAGGTATGGGAAAACTTTGCTAGTGTGAGTTTGCCCTTAATTTGTTTAACACGATGTCTAACATTTGGTGAGATTATAGGAGGATGCGTTCTTTTAATGAAGCCTCTGACACGATGACCCTCTTTTATAAAAGTTTTATTGAATCGGTTTTAAGGTTTTTTATTATTGCCTGGTATGGTAATCTGGCTCTAGCTAATAAAAACAGATTTAGGAGCCTGGTTAAAGTGGTGAGCAAGATTGCAGGGAGGAGTCAAGGAATGTTGCATCACTTGGGTTCCCTAGGGATATGTTGGTGTCAGACCAGTTTGGGGCACAATTCTGGTAGGAGTAATATTCGCTGTTGGGAGCCACAGTCAGCATCATCGGGATAACACCTCCAGAGTGATTGCCAAACAGACCGACTGAGCCAGGAGCTGGAGACTGGACTTCGCTGCCTAGCATTTCAAATTTCCAGTTCCTGGACCAAACAACTTACTTAGGTTGAGTAGAACAAAATTTGTTTCCTTGCACTTTATATGGACTCTCTCCCTTTCAGTGTGTGTTACCAGCCGCCTCTCTATCTAACCCTTGAAAAGTAAGGTAAATGGTAAATGTTCTGGTTAAGAAAATCAATTTCCGACAGTGAAATCCAACCTGTTTAGGCAGGATAGATCATCTAAGGGAGGTGGGGTGGCTATCTTTACTAAAGAACACATTCACTGCTCTGTCGCCCTCGCTAAGTCAATTCCCAAACAGTTTGACCTATTAGTTCTTAACATCAAACTATCAAATAACTACTCAATGTCAGTAGCTGGTTGTTATTGCCCTCCATCAGCACCAGTCTGTACTGACAAAGTTTCACTGCAATTTGACTCCCTAAATCTCCATCAAATCATATCCCTAACAAAAAACAGAATTAGTCCCTGGTTTGACCATAAACTGTCTATGTTACTTCAACAAAAAAACGCTGCCTGGTGTAAGGCATGGCTATCCAAATCCCCCACAGACTGCCTGGCTTTCAGGCAACTTAGGAATAAGGCCGTACAAGCTGTTCGGAAGACCAAAGCCAATTATTAAGAACAATTCTACTGCTGTGGTTCTGACCCCCAACAATTCTGGAAAACAGTGAGAGAGCTTGAAAACAAAACCCCTACTCAGCTACCTCTGTCACTTAAAGTGGACAATATCATAGTGTCTGATAAGTGTCAACATTTTTAAGCAGCACTTCACTAAATCTGAGTTTATTACTGAGTCTGCCAGCCCCCCATTCCAGGCCAGTAGTTCTTCTCCCCGAAACCCACCCAACAACTCTCATCATAACCTCCCAAACCGCGCCTCCCCCACCAGGCACCCCGCTCCCGTACACAGCTTCACTTTACAGGCTGTCTCGGTGGACAAGGTCCTGGATGAACAGCTTAGGCTGGACCCAAAAAAGCCAGCTAGGTCTGATGAGCTAGACCCTTTCTTCTTGAAGATTGCGGCCCCATTACTGACATTTATAACCTGTCCATCCACACAGCTGAATTCCCATGTGCTTGGAAAGCAGTAGTGGTGCGTCCCCTTTTTAAGGGAGGGGATCAGGCTGATCCTAACTGTTACCGGCCCATCTCAATACTGCCCTGTCTATTCTAGCAACTAACTAGTCATATGGAAATGCACAATATCTTGTCTGATGCTCAATCTGGTTTCCGAGCTGGTAATGGCTGTTTCACTGCTACGCTGTCAGTCCTGAATGACATAACCTCTGTATTAGACACAAAACAACACTGTGCAGCAATCTTCATTAACCTGGCAAAGGCATTCGACACTGTTGATCACTCCATCCTAACCGGCAGACTGGGCAGCATCAGGGTTTCAGGGCACTCACTGGCATGGTTTTCAAACTACCACACTAATAGGGAGCAACGGGTAAAAAAAAATCTCCTCTCACAGCCACTCCCTGTCACTAAGGGTGTACCCCAGGGTTTGATCCTAGCTCCCACTCTCTTCTCCATCTATATTAATGATATCCCCAAATCTTCACAGACTCATCCATCCACCTCTATGACGATGACACAGTCCTTTATGCCTTTGGTCCCTCCCCAGATATAGTACTCACATCACTACAAGATAGCTTCAACAAGATCCAGCGGACCTTCTCCTCCGTGAACGTCATGCTTAACACCAGAAAAACCAAGATCATGTGGTTCGGGAGGAAGGGCCCCGCTGCTTTTGATTGGTTGATTTTGAGGAAATGAGGACAATGTGAGCCTACTACACAGCTAGGATAATAGTCATGCATTAATTAATTTCTAAACATCATATTTATATGACTTTTTGGACTTTCAGACACACACGGATACACACACGCGGGGGGCGGGTGACGTCATTTGGATGTGGGCGTGAAAGGGGAACGTTTCGTGGGAAATCTGCTGCTGGCTACCTTACAGTCTGTGCTGGCTACGCAGGATCAAGTAATATATTTACACATTTTCTTGAATATTAGCAATTTTTATGTGAAAACGAGGTGTTTTGAGCTTAATGAAGTTATTTCTTTAAGGAAGGAATGTGGTGTCCGTGATGAAAGTGTTTTCATCCCAGACCCCAAGCACTGAGCTACTACAGAGGACAAGATTGCTTGCGTGTTTATGCGAGCCAGTGCGGAGCAAAGCACCCGGAGCTCCTCAAGTCAACTCAACTCCGAAAACATGTTGCCACACTCTCAAATCCTAAATCTGAAAAACAATGATCTTGACCAGGTTGCAGACTTCCTTGGATACGACATCCGTGTCCATCGGGAATTCTATAGGTTGGTACAGAGGTACAGAGAGCAGGTCCAAACATTCTCTGTGTGGTGTGAAAACAACAACCTTCACCTCAACACAAAGAAAACCAAGGAAATAATTATCGACTAGAGAAAAAAACAAAAAACACTCCACTCTAGTCTGAAAGAAGTGGAACGCTTCACCAGCTTCAAGTTCCTGGGAGTGC